GCGCGCTCTAGCAGGCCAGGCCTCTGCCACTCTTTTTTCTTCTTCTTAGAGAGACGGCGGGGAAGCTGATACTGTCCTCGGGGCGAAACGCAAACCAAACCACACTCTAACCACGTTCCTCGTTACCACCACGAGTGGGAGAGTGGAGGGTGGGATTTGGAGCGGATTTTCATAGGCCTCAAGTGCCACCTCGGTTTATTATACCAGTTGAGAGAATGGCTTGCTACCCACTGGTGACCTTTCCCACCCAGGGTTGCTTCAGGATCCTGGCAACCAGACAACTGACAATCTCAGCTTGTGTACTCATAACCTGCATAGTGAACAGAAAAGCCCCAATCCAACCTAGGATGCTCTTAACCCTACTTCTCATTGTTCCGTTAAGCGAATTTGCGAGACCCTGCCAGGTTCCCGAGGCGCCTTTTCTGGAGACTTCGAGAGCAAGCAATGTCTAAAAGTCGCCTGTGGCGCCTCTTCCCAGAGCCCCAGTAATCTCTCTGCAGTTTGAGGAGCTCACAGAATACGCCCAATCCTCTTTCCCGTCCCTCCAGAAAGGAGCCCCACAAGAAAGCTGCGGAAGGCATAGTAGATGCTGTGGGAGGGGAACCATTTCGCACTGGGAAATAGGGCAGTGCACCCAACCCAAAGGTGAGGGCCACAACACTGCCGATCTGAAAAAGCCACCTCATTCAATTCAATTGAGTGTTAGGTCTTGATTGAGGCCTGCCTGGAGAGCAAGAGCACTTAGGGCTTAGGATCCTGAAATGAATCCTGGCAAACTTGCTTTTCAGGAGGCAAAAAGGCCTTTGACTGGAAGCAAATATTATACTGCGATTCTAGATCTGTATCTCATTGATTTTTGAAGCCGTACCAAAGGATACATAGGATGGCAACATCACCCTATTATCATGATCGGAAACGCAGCTGGGAAAAAAGTAATAAACACCACGGAGGTTCATGTGGGGTCTGGGCATAGAGAGAAAGAGAGAGAGATTGAGAAAACGGGCTGATAAAGGGTAGATATTATTGATTTTTCAGAGATTCGAACTAAATCCTAAGGCATTTATGGTATTCATAAAATGAAGCTCTTAAGAGGAGCTTTCTTGCTTCTCCACCAACCCCAACAGGCAGGCACTCACACAGCCCTTTAGAAAATAAGCACAAAAGCCTGGCCTGTGTAGACATGTTAATTGTCTTTGTGATTTTCTGCATGAACTGCAAATGAGCGGTTAGGTTTCTAAGGAAGATTAATAGGCATCAAAATATCTGCGCGCGCACACACAGGGCAAGGTTTGCACTAGGCAACTCAACCCTCAAAGATACCATAATGCCTTTTCCGTAGTGGTCGCTCTTATATCTCCTACACTCTGCCCTCAGTTTAGCCAAGATAAGGTGCCTCTCCTTCCCAATGTAAACTTTGCCCCAGAACTATTGAGCATGTTGTGTTTTGCAAGAATGAGATGGTGGCTGGCATGGAATTATATAAGTGGCGACATTAGGTGTGGAAGAGGTGTATAAACAGAAGTGTGAACGCCTGCATGTATTTCACGCTCAGATACTAAGCGTATTTATGCATGATGCCTAAGGATGAAAGATGAGATAGAGCTCAGGGGATTTTGCTTTTACTTTAGAGCGCGGATGTTTCAGCTTCGATATCCCAGTCATCTGATGCCGAATTAGCGAATCTTTCTGACCCATCCCTTAAAGAAGGGAAAGGAAATCTTCGCTGATTTAGCGTCACCCAGGTACCATTGTAGCGGTACTTCAGGGATGCGACAACAGTAAAGTGATGGTTGGATGACGCCATGAAGAAATAGTCCTATTGGGCCCGCCCCCGAGGTGGTTCTCCTTTAGTCGTAAAATACATTTCCTTCGCTGCACAGAAGCAAGCCTGACTTGGAATATGCCATTTGAGGAGCTTCCAAGAGCAAGGAAAGAGATCCTCAGTATGCAATCTTGCAGCGGTGGTCTAACTCATTTGCATTGTGCATATAACTGGCATTTCTACTGAAATGCAACTGAAAGTTATTCCCATGGATCTGGAGTGTTGCTTGATACATCTGGGATATCCATTTATTCAGCAAACATGGTTCATATCCATCATTAACCCAAATTGGTTCTACTTGATTTCAATAGAAAGAAAAAGAAACACTTTGGTTTTGTATAAATGGTTGGAGTACCCACCCCCAGAAATGGAAACATTTGACTTGTGTGCATCTTTACTTGAGCCTAAGTCCTATTTAACTCAAAAGGCCTTATTTCAATATAGAAAATAAAAAGGTTATGGTGAATCCATGAGAGTAAAAATCAAGACCAAATGAAAGTATAAATGGCAATAACATTTCCATTTGATCTTGATTTCTACAGGAAAGAGATATATTACCATATGTTGCTGTTTTTGACCAAGATGTTACAATGTATTGTGGAGAATAAGGTTTTGGAGACCTTTTTTCTTATGCTAAATACTGACCTGTGATTTGAGACCAAAAAGTCTGTTCCAGAACTGTATTATCTGGGAACAGATCCCATTTAATACAGTGGAGTAAACATAGAGAAGATTGTGTTATATGCGCAATGACTTAGAAAACCTTCCAAAGAAGTCAGCTGAGGTCATTCTCCACAGTTCTATTGAGCCTGAAGCAAAGTCTCTGTATGCTTTCTTTGGAATAAGATCCAGTTGGGACTTACTCTCAACTAAGAATTCAAGAGAGAGAGAATAACTGTTGTCCATATTGATTTGCCTAAGGCCACCAGAAAATTAAATATTGAGATCTATACCATCTTTGTTTTAGGACTTCAAAAGCTTAAATCCATCTCATAAATACCATTTAGATGCTAAATAATAGAAGGAACCTTAAGTGGACTGTAATTTTAGCAAGGAAAATGCTTTTAGGAGTGTGGCCTGCAAACACAAATTTGCAGTTTATTCAAGAACATAATGTGTACAACTCCTTAAATTTAACCCTTTGTGTCAACCCAATTAGCATGATAGACTTACAGACAGAAACATTCCACTGCTTTCAGTGACATTTACTAACTGGTGCAGCAAATTGGACTGTATGCAGCAGAAAGCAAGAAGCAATCTAAGATTTGGGAAGACAAAGTTTGCAGTCCCCAGTAATTTACCCTAGATACATAGAAATTTATTCAGTTTTAAGGAGATCTAAAGGGTTAAGGTTAGGGTTTACTCAAGTTGCTTGTTCTACCTTAGATGGGAATTAGTCTTGCTTAGGAAGTCAAGAACTTGCAATCCACAGGACTTGATATCCAATAAAGGGTTACAACAGGATTAATAAAGTATAATTGCACTCTGGCAATCTTGGTATAAGAAAGTGGTTGATCTTCCGTTAATGTTATATTTTATGCATCTAAGGTAAAGACTTAATTACTTTTCATGAGACTACAGTAGTATCTTTCTTATTGCTCATCCTGCTGTTATCAGATTTTCCTATAGTAAATGGTTGCTCTTTCTGGTGTCATAGCTTTTCTTAACTTGGTGTTCTTACAAATACATTGGACTCCTACTCTTTCCACCCCAACCAAGGGCTTGAAGATTGGAGAATTAGACCACCATGTTATGGAAAGCTGTCCATTCCAAAAGCACCAGATTAGCACTAAAGAAACAGGTTTATACATGAAATAGACCCTTGGTCTAATCTGACAGGGATATTCAAGTACTTGTACACTTGTATAGAAAAAGTGTGTAGTGCTAGGTCTTGAGATGTGAGAACACATAGGCCAGCTGAAGGTTTCTTCCCAGAATGCTTACATCCTAGCATTTTCTTCAATTTACTTCTTGCCTCCAAATCCTCTGATACACTATTCCAAATATCTTATATTAGCCTTCACCAACCCAGTGCAATATTATTGAGACCAGTACTGAAATATTTGGCTTCAAAAAAAAAAAAAAAAAAAAAAGGGAGAGAATGAGCCTGGGGTGAAGGTTAGTAAAGGTATGAATTTTTAATGCAAGTCCTACTCATTTTCATAGGAACTATGTACAACTAGCAAAGGATCAGATGTTGGACCTACTATTTCTGGCATAAATTTGCTAAGCCTGTATATAAAAAGTGTAGTATTTCTGTTTTATGCATAATTATTTATATACTTTGCATAAAACTATACACTCACAGAGTTAAAAATGTTCTTTGTAATTTAATGTGTTATATAAAATATGTTATTAAGTTCAGATTTTCTTAAACTAATTCATAGTAAACTCAAATGTTATCCTGAGCCTATCAGAAACTTCTAAAAACAAATTCTGGTTATTGTTTTATAACATGTCATGTCATAAAATAAAACATTAAAAGTTCGGCACATTTATTAAAAATCTAAGAATCAGCAAAATCATTTTTCTTTCTATTGTCCATACATTGCCAAATTAACCAGATTTCATACCATCACCATTAATTTCATAATGTTTCTCTCAGGTGAAGTTGCCTTTGTTCCTGCTCTTTTTCAAAAAGCTGGCCTACATACACTTGCATTTTTGGGAGATCAAACTACAGTTCCTAATAAAGCTTCAGAAATATTCAGAAAAGAATATTTCTAAAACAGGTTGTTCGAATCATGCTTTACATTTAGAATGGAATTTGGCAAACTGTTAAAGTGGAATGTCTCACTGAAAATATGTCACTGAGCCAGTGGAATTTATTCCCTTTAAAATTGCTTACATAACACCACAGTTTGGTACAAGTAAGTAATCCATCGAGATTTTTTGACTTTTCAACATACAGATACTTGATCTATATTTCAACAATAATGATAACAAGATATAACAAATATCATGAACAAATTACATGTTGTAGCTCAGTGTGTAATTTAAACCAATATAAAAATGTAAATTTTGCATGTGGAAAAAGTAACTACACCCTTATATTTAACACCACCTCAAATAACTAAAATTAGAATCAGGTACACCAGACCAGGTGCAAATAATTGGAACACTTTAAGAGAAGATGCACAAGGATCCTGTCTTACTGCAGACATTTAGTTTGACTTACTTTTTGAAGTTTGTAGTATAACCGTATCTAGATCCACAGCGCTCTCTAAGGCCTTCAAAAAGAAGGTTGTAGCCCATGAATCTGGGAAGAGATTTATTGCCAAACAATTAGACACCAATCATTTCACTATCATGAGGATCATCTACAAGTGGAAAGGGTTGGAAACAACTGCCAACTTGTTTTGGCTAGGCCATCAGACAGCAGAATGCAAGATGCTAAAAGAAATCTCCAAGGACAGCAAAATTTCATCCTGTGACCTACAAATAGCTATCATCACTATTGATGTCAAAGTGCATAAGTCTGACCATTAGAAAGCTATGGGTGATGTGCCAGGAGGAAACCTTTGCTGTCCAGAAAGAATATTGAAGTAAGACCAAATTTGTTCATAAACAACTAGGCAAAGACAAGGACTTCTGGAACAATGTGTAAATAAGACAAAGATTGAGTTTTTGGGCAGGAGGTGTTTGGAGAAAACTGAAGACAGCATTTCACCAAAAGAGCCTAATATCAGTTATAAATCCTGGTGGTTGGAACGCAATGGTTCGGGGCTGCTTTGTTACATCAGGGCCTAGGCAGCTCAACATTGCAAAATCCACTATGAATTCTTTATTGTATCAGAGGATAGTTGAGCATAATATGAGGCCATTTGTCAGAAGAATGAAGCTCAACTGAAAGTGGACCTAGCAACATGACAATGACCCAAACATTCCAATAAATCCACCATGGAATTGCTGAATAATAAAGAAATAGCGGATTCTGGAATGGCCAAGTCAAATCCCAGATCCCATTGAACAGGTCATGCATGGAAGAAACCCCTCACACATCACACAGCTGAAAAAATTCTGTATGGAGAAGTGGGAAAAAAATTCCTCTCAATCAATGTTGAAAACTATATAGACGGTTATAAGAAACATTTATATGAAGTTGTTTCTGTCAAAACAGGCAATACTACATATTAGAACAAAAAGTATATTTCCTTTTTCTATAAAATGAAATGGCACATGTTATTTTTTGTTGAGTAAATGATTGCAAAGTCATTTTTCATAATTATCTTCAGTTACATCACTTTAACCTTTCTATACTGTTTAAATAATGATAAAATATTGACATGTCAGCATATGTCAAAAAAGCAAACTTTACATGGGGCATATTTTCCACATGCAAAATTTGCAGTTAGGTTTATTTAAATTACAATGGACTACAACATGGTGCATATTTGTTATATACCCTTTGTCAATATTGTCAAAATAAAGATCAAATAATTGCATGCTGAAATATGTTGAAAAAGTCAATAATGTAAATGGGGTTTTTCTGCATTCCTATGACTGTAATAAAATCAATCCAATGCACTAGTTAAATAGTGTAATTATTGTTTAAATATATATCACAGGACATCACATGAAATACATATGCTTCAGATAGCCTCGGTTGGGTGAGGTTTTTTGACATTGACTTCACACAGAATATATCTGGATTAGTTGAGAAACACTGATTTTGCTAAACAGGTCACTTTTGATAGTTTAGGTCACCTTGCAAAAGATAAACTATTAAGCTGAAAATGACCCAACTTCCCTTTCTACATCTGTCCCAGATATGAGTCTTTAATAAAGTCAGTTGATCAAATTAAAAGAAAAAATACACGTTTTAAAATATCAAATTAAAAAAATAACGGATTAAAAAATCCGATTTCTAGGTTACCTTGCTTGGATCCCAGCGAAATTAATAGGACCTGCGCAAGAACCCCAACTGGCAACTGGGAGGGGGCCGTCAGGCGCGCACCCGCTTCATTTCAGGGGGACTTACGCAATAATTGTGCCCATTGTTTACCGTGACCCCGCGTTTCCGAATTTCAGAGGGTCCTGTTCAGTCCTGGATCGGGCCAGACGTCTCGGCCTTATCTCAAAGACCGTTTCCACCAATCAGGGGCAACTGAAACTAGAGGATAAAATACTTAGCTCTGGAGAATTAACGAGAATGACAGGGTTGGTGAAAGAGCTTTTAGTACTGCAGACTACACTTTGCAAGGTTTTTAAACGTTTCCATAGGGTGTAGTAATTAATCTGTATTTCCTTATTTATTTATAGCGAAAAGCTTATTTCCGCCACGTTCCTAACAGTTTTCTTGAGGATACGCCCTTTTCCATCGTCTCCTGTTTGGGATCATGAATAAACGAGCCCCGTCTTACGGAAGGAAGAGAGCATCTGCTACGGTGCGATTCTGTTTGGGTTTTTTTTTTTCTCACTTCGGAAACTGCGACATTACGTTCGCTTAGGGTTGGGAATCAAGGTAGATCTCATTAGTTCGATAGAACCTAGATCCGAAGGAAAGGGAATAGGATTGAACTGGTGGTTACCCTTCCCCAAAAATGACGAGGCCTCTCCTTCGTTCTCGTTCTGGGCAGTTTCCAGTGTGGGCACTGAGTCTCCTCCTCGTCCCCCTCCCGCCCCGACCCCATTAGCCGAATCAGCATTGCTTTTAAAGTCCCTAAGTCAAATATTGGCGAGTCTCAAAGGGTTATTAAGATTCAAATAAAGAGACAGCGATTTACCAATCTGTATTTCATCGTCAAGTTTCCTAAGTCAGTTTCATGTTAGATATATACAGGTCCCTCAACTATTTTTTTTAAAGGGGGGAGGGGAGTAATGCTGCCGCGTGATACATAAACCGGTTTGAGGTCTAATATACCCTCGATCTTCACCACCTACAACGGAATATCCCGTTGACAAACGAAGACCTATCCGAAGAGCAATCTTTGAATCGCGTTCATTCAAGCTTCGTTGAAATCAGCATTACACTGGTGTGTAAATACGTTTAGAACCAAGGTGACATCCTTAGGGTTAGCTTGATCCGTTTTCGAGGACGGCGTCCTTTGAGGTGTCTGTGTTCCAGATTAAACACTCCAGTTCTCCTTGGGGTGGATCGGATCCCCTGGCACCGAAGTTTCTAAGAAAGCGCGTTAAAAGCCCTCAGGAGGCCGCCCGCTCGCTTTCAACGGAGTGAAAATGGTGAAACGACCCATCAAAAGCAGCAAATCTGCGCCCCATTTGTTCTCCCCAGCTAGAGATAAAGGAAACTACTTCGGATTCCAATTCAGTCAATACTGACAGGCTGGTGAGCTCGCATACACCCCCCCCCCCCCCCTCCATCCCAGCCCCCCCCGCAATATGCTTCTTAGCAAAAGAGGACCCAGGGTCCCTTATTTCAACTCTGAACTACAAATATTCTCCTTTATTGGTACTCTTATTTATTTCGGTAGTTTGGGGAGCCGCCTCCTGCGATAGCGGAATCCGCAGAGGGCCGAGCGGCCTTAACGAGAGGGGCGGAGGTCTAAAGAAGCTGTAGGCTCAGAGCCCTTGTGGGATCCAGCCGAAGGGCAAAGGCGCGGCGGGAGAAAGGGTGGGTGGGGCTCGCCAAAAGATAGTGGTGGTGGTGGTGGTGGTGGTGGAAGAAGCCAATTCCCCTCTTTTCACCAGAGGGGTGCGCCATAACAGGCGCCTCGTGCCTTGGTTGAGAGCAGGCGAGGTGGCCCTAGGCCTAGGGAGAGGCCTCCGGAGCCCTATTGGTGGCAGTCGGGGAGCCAAACCCTTCCGCCCTAATTTGGGACGTGCCTTCCCTTGTTCTTCCTCGAAAAACAACATCAGATGCCCCCAAGGCATCTAAAAAGAAAACTGTCTCTCTCTGTGTGTGTGGGGCACGAGAACAGGCCTCGCACCTCAGCCGGGCTGCTCGCCTGACACCTTCCAGCCGACCTGGCTTCGGAAAAGCCGCCTCCTGTGGGCTAATCGCGGGCAGAGTTGAGGCCCTGCGCCGCCGCCCAGCTGAGTCCTGCGGGTGGGCGCGTCGCCTTGCAAGGGGAGGCCGGGTCAGGGCGCAAGGGAACTCCGGGCAGGCTGACATCTGACCCCGGAGGGCTTGACCCAGCCAAGGCACTCTCGGTCGGAAACAAACCGCACCGGACGACTGACAGCCGGATGCCTTTGCTCTCGGAGGGAAATGCCGATGAATCGAGACCGAGCGGTAATTGACCCCGGGCCTCCGCCGAGCCGCCCTGGGGACCGCCGCCCGCTTCCTCAGCGCTCAGGGCCCAGCGCGTTGGATGGTCCTCCGTTCAATAGCCCGCGGCGCCCAGCCTTTCTCTCCCCCGCCCCCTCGGTTTCCTGGCCTAGCTGAGGGAGCATTCCGTCGAAGTTGTGCCTGTAAGCGCTCCCTCACAGCAGGCGGGGAAACCCTTCCGAATATCGGCTTGGCTTCGCCAGAGGAAAGATCCGGTCGGAGGCTCTTGACCAAAGGCCATCGACACGGTTTCGAAAGAGCCGGAACAAAAACAGAACCGGTGGCCCGCTCGACCCCACCCGGGATTTCGGATCGCCAGACCGACCATGACTTGACCCACATAAGCGCACAGCTATTCCCCACCACCACACACAGCCTTTTTGCGGCCTTCCTACGGGCTTCCTGGCCTATACGGCGCCCACGGCCCGGCCTCAGAGCAGGTGGAAGCTGGGGAGAGAAGGCCGGGAGGCCTAGAAGGTGCAAGAGAAGCGGCCCCTTTCTGTGGGGTGGGGGAGAGAAACCCCTCTTCTGGTTTGCCTTCCTCGCAAACAGGCAGAGAGGGCAATTGGCGGGCAGCTCTACGGAGAGGCCTTAAAAAGTTTTGGGCCTTCCCTTCAGTTCGAAGCTGGCTGGCTGTTTCGCCCAGTCCTGTAGGGAGCAGCAGCCTTTGAAGGGCCCCGAAGGGTCAGGGAGAAAGAGAGAGGCAAAGCTGTCAGCCACGGGAAACAAATCCTGCCGCCCGAATGTTTTATGGAAGCCTTTTTCGTAATTAAGAATATGGAGATTAGTCTTCGGCCAATTTTAATGCTCGGCCATTTGTGGCATTTTTTGCACGAGAGAGAGAGAGAGAGAGAGAGAGAGAGCGAGAGAGCGCATCCCCCCACCCCCACCGGCCTCCCCGCCCTTCTGCCCGGTCCTTCTTCTGTACCAGCCCCGGAGAAGAGAGCTCGACGCCGCCGGTTCATACGCCCCAAAGTTAAAGTCTTAGGAAACTGTACCTTAGTCACTCAGACGCTCGGCTCCCGTTTTGTGAAGGATGAAGGGTTTTTGTTTTGGATGGCATTTGCAAAAATTAGACGGGAATGAGCGTTTTTCTTTGTTCTACCTAAACCTTCCGTTTGCCCTGGGCTGGGAAACGTCGATTGATAGACTACGGCGTTAATTAATACGGTGCTAATTTGAGGTTTTTTTAAAAAAAAACAAAAAAAAAAAAACGGAAGGAGGTGGAACTCGGCACAGGGAGACGGTGGTGGGATAGTGACCTCTAGTGGCGCAATCTGGGCATGCAGGCCGGACTGGTCTCCAAGATCGGGGGAAGCTTTCGAGGCTTTTTCCCAGCAGCCAAGAAACTTGCAAACTCGGAAGGCTCGAGGAAACTACGCGGCTCTAAAGAGTCGCAAGCTTCGCCTCTTTACTCGTCACTTTTAAAGGGATCTAGGCGAGAATCGAGGACGCGCCACAAAGCTCTGCCGTAGGGCAAACCGGCCCGGAACTTTTGAGACCCGCAGAGTCCGGCGATCCTTCAGAAGGAGCTGCCGTCCTTTGCCGACAGGATCCGCCGGCCCTGTTCCTTGGCCAAGGGCGGGCAGGCGGAGCCGGTGGGTCATTTTTCTGGTCCAGACGGGCCAAGTTCGGCTCCTGCCATCAGGACCTTGACTTGGACCTGGAGGGCCGCTCCTTCACTTTTCTGCTCACAGAGTCCCTGGCTGAGAGTTCCTTTTCCCATCCCTAAGTGAGGATGAGCTTGTCTGAACTCCCGAGGAGGGGGTTGATCTGCGCAAGATCGCGGTAAATCGCCTTTGAAATCGGGTGGATTCCTAAATGTTTAAAGTTTCGGGTGGCCACTCTAATATTACAATTAAAAAAAATACGCAAGGATATAGTTTTAATGATGCGAAAAAACTTGGGGCCCGCAAAGTGGTATTTATGCCCACTTGTTAATTAGAACAATACAACACGAAATTGATCAAGCACGATTTTTTCCCCACGGAGTTTCCTTCGGACACCGGCCGGGTGTTCCTTTCTCCCGAGACGAAATCTCCGGGGAAGAGTGTTTAGTCTCAAGTAGGAACTCATAGAGCTTCGTCTTGAAAAGAGCTGGATCCTGTCCTAAAAACACCCAGGCTCTTTCCGTTCATAGTGCAACATCTTGCGACATAACCATGTCGACTGTTTCCTTTTGGGTCAAACCCAGAGAAGTTGCAGCACTCTGAGGTCCCCTTTTAATTGGTCAACCGTCCCCACTGACAGCACCGGTGTTTTATCAGGGATGGTTTGGATTGTCATAATCCGTTTTGGCAGGTAGGAGGTTCTTGACTTGGAGGAGATCGAAATAAGTTTTGGAAAAGCCATATGGCGGGACAGGTTACTGTACCATTTCTATTCCTCCCCCCCCTTCCTCATGCATTACAAGTTTATTCTTTACTTATATCTATCTCCATCCACATGTACACGTTTCCTTGTGGGAGTGCTTGTGCGTGCGTATAGAAAAACAATGCCCAGCCACTTGTAATGAAACGATTCTTTTACGAAAGACTTTTTCAGCCTAAATTCTCTAATTTCCTCCAAGCCCTGTGCCGTCCTGCATTTCTCTCCTCTGCTCAGGGTAAACCCCTCGCCGGTCCTTTTTAGGTCAAGAGGTTCCTAGTTTAACCACGTCAAAATAAAGATAAAGAATAGGGAAATGTGACGCACAGAAAGAAGGGCCCTGATTAAAAGTAAGCAAGAAGAAAAGTTTCAATAGTTCAACACATTTTTATGTTTAGTGAAGAAATCCCCAGTGCCTAAATTTCAAGATCTAATTTGCTGGACTATGGCATATTTAATGGCCGTCCTCCACCAAGACATCTACATCTAAAAATTAAGCATCTGAAATCTGTGGCAGTTTTCCAAATAATTCAAGTGAACGCCCAAAGATTCGAATTGCTTTCCCAAGTATTTCCATTTTTAACGATTAGATAAATTATAAAACTATTTGCTCTTAAACCATATACACGCCCAAGATTTCTTTACAAATAGCCACAACTGCAGTAATAAATACTGATATATTAAGGTCGTTCTTAATACAATAGTTCAGTTCAGAAGTATTCGGCAGAACCTCAGAAATTATATACAATTGGCATCATATAACATAGCTTTGATATCAAAGTATC